ATCCTGGAATTGTTGGGACAGAAACAAAGAGAAGACCAATGCTGGTGTCACCAGCCAGCCCCCATGACCAGGCTGACTTTGGGTCTCTGTCCCGGGCGCCACTGGGTAGTATGGCCTAGATGGGATGGGTAAGGAGTCCCCCTCTCTCCGTCCTTCCTGTATCCACCCTCCTCCCATCCCATCCCATCTCTGGGCTGGTTTGTGGGCTGACAGAGTTCACACGTATCTGGGGTGGGCCTCTGTCTCCTCAACAGAGTGGGACTGAAGAGCGAGGCCTGAAGCATTACTGGTTCACATCCTGGCCTGACCAGAAGACCCCAGACCGGGCCCCCCCACTCCTGCACCTGGTGCGGGAGGTGGAGGAGGCAGCCCAGCAGGAGGGGCCCCACTGTGCCCCCATCGTCGTCCACTGCAGGTGGGTCCTCCCAGCCAGCCCCTGAAGCAGGGCGGCCCCCCACCCGCTGGGCCACACTGCCCCTCACCCCACCCATCCCCTCGGCCCTCAGTGCAGGGATTGGGAGGACCGGCTGCTTCATTGCCACCAGCATCTGCTGCCAGCAGCTGCGGCATGAGGGCGTGGTGGACATCCTGAAGACCACGTGCCAGCTCCGTCAGGACAGGTCAGCCCACGGGCAGGGGTAGGGGCCCATGGGGGAGCTAGAGCTCTGCGGGCAGCAGGGAGAGACCGATGTGTGCATGGGGGTGAGGGGCAGATGGACACTGGGTATGGACTGACAGGCAGACAAGGAGAAGGGAGGACTGATGGGTGGAGGGGCAGTATCCAGACATTTGGGAGCTAGATGAAGAGGGAAGAGAAACAGAGCTGGTGGACAGAAGGACAGGGGCTGAAAGTGGAGGGACATGTCATCTGTGTCCCCGACAGGAAGGGGCAGAGAGCAATGGTTGGCAAGTGTTGATCTCTCCAAGCTGCACAAGGACAAAGCCCCTGGTGTGCCTCAAAAATGATGGGCACTGCATGGGTTTTGAGCACCCTCTCACAGCCCATCCCTCAGTGAGCCCATCCCTGTCACGCATCTCTGCCCAGCAGGGGCGGCATGATCCAGACATGCGAGCAGTACCAGTTTGTGCACCACGTCATGAGCCTCTACGAGAAGCAGCTGTCCCACCAATCCCCGGAGTGACCAAGCTCCCCCTCTGAGGTCCTCTGGGCACTGCCAAGCCTAAGTTGGGCACTCACCCTGGCCTCCCAGGGCCCTACCTCAGGTCCTGGGCCTGCTCCCTGCCCTCGCCCCCTCCTGCTTCCTTCCCTCCTGTCTGCTCCCTCCTCCTGTATTAGCCTGGGCCTGGCCCCTGCCCTCCAGCATAGCTCTTCCTACTGTACATACTGGGGAGTGGGGGGAGGGGGTGGATGTGCCAGGCCAGGCCTGGGGCCCCAGGGCCTGACCTACACCACGCAGACCTGGGGCCTCAGTTTTTAATGATGGTTCCATTGCTACTTGATCCAAAACGTTTCCGTGCCGCACTCCAGGCATCTTGCTGCAGCGTGTTCCGTCTGTCCATCCATCTCTGCTGTCTGTACCGGACACTGTGTCTCCTCGGCCGGGGAAAGGGGTAATGAGCTCCAGCTCCCGAGCAGCCAGGCAGAGGTGCCTGCCTCAGGCCCCCACCCCGACTTCTCCCAACAAGCAGAGTGCATTTGGCCCCCAGTTATTGGGACCAGGAACCGGTGGGTGCTGAGGACCTGGAGGCCAGGCATGGGGAGCTCCTGAGGGGTTGACAGAGAGATCTCAGCTGGGGGAGAGGTCTCTCAGTTGGGGTGGGCATCACAGCCAGGGCGGCCTCTGGGCATCAGATGCCCTCAGGAGGCAATGACCAGCCTGTGAGGCATTGGGAAGGAAGGGGACAGATGGGGGTGGGGAACCCAGAGGATCTGGGCCCTGGTTGGGGGAGGGGAGGGGAGCTCTGGGGAGGGGGTGGGGACTCAGCCCCAGATCTGTGTGAGACGTTTCTCCGTGTCACCGTGGGAAAGCCTTCCCAGAAGTCTCGCTGCGTGTTGCTCCGCGTGTGTTCCCACGTCCATGTGTGTGTTGAGAGCCCATCAGCAGGGCATGCATGACTCTTTGGCAACGTGTGTTATCTTGGAGCCACGTGTTTTTATTGCTGACTTTAAATATTTATTCCACGGCAGAGAGACATTTGGTGTCTTTTTATAATGCGCTCGTGGTCATTGAATAGAGCAATAAACGGAGCATTTTGAGCAAAACTAACCTAGGTGTGTGTGATTTTCCTCTCCCCTGCACTCCTGCCTCTGGGTCCTCCCCAGGCAAGCCACAGGAGCCTGGCCCATGCACTCACTGGCGCCCCTCGTGGAGATTGGGGGTACGGAGAGAGTCCAAATTCGAAAAGCCAAAATAAGTCCATTCTGCAGGATTCTCGCACACCTTGGACCCCAGCGTGGCCAGATGCTCTGGGCCATGGCGAGCCTCAAGGACAGGTGGGGAAGGTTTCCAGGGAAGGCAAAGTATTTTTCAGGCCACCAGCTCCAACAGATGGGCCAGAAAGGCCAAGGCTGGGGCAAGGGGATGTTCAGGTCACACCCGGGGCTCTCCCTGTTAGCCAACACTTACCCTGTGTTAGCTCCACAGGTCCCCACAGCAGCTGAAGCCCAGAAACTTCCCTTGTAAGGCCTGGGCAGAGAATAGCTTCTCCCAAGGGGCCCAGGGAATCTGCCCGTGGGCTCAGATCCTAAGTCATCCTGGACACTCCTGCTCTATCCTTATCCCCTGCACCCCTGAGATGGAGCAAAAGTAGCTGTGATGTCACTGCCGGCAAGTGGGGGTCACCCCAGGGCAGGAGGGCATCCAGGGAAGGGCTGCTGACCAACCAACAGCTCCTTACAAGATACCAGAACCTTGGGTTGGTTGGTCAAGGGTCTAGGCATGCAGGGTGTGCTACAGACAATGAGGAAAGAACAGGGTGTGGGTGAAGCAGCACAGATGGGCATCCCAGAGAAAGGGGGCATGCTCTCCAGCCACCCCAAAACAGAGATCTACCCCTGGAAGATCTACCTTGCTACCCAGATGAGACAAATTGGGCTGTTAGAGTGGGAAGGAGCTAACATTTCCCTGTCCTTCCCCAAATTGACCCTGTGAGGCCACTCAGGCTATGCATGAACCACATGCAGAGTGCAACATGAACGGTGCCCCCTGGATTTGTGCAAAGTAGCAGATGTCATGACCCACCCCAACTCTCCCTCTCCCGGTCCCTAGAGAATATAGACCTGTTGCTTTGCTCCCTAAGCCCCATTGGACTATGTGTGCACATGTACCTAAGCGTGTACATGTACACAGTCACACACACACCCTGAGCTCCTCTGCTCAGAGGGGTCCCACCCAGCAGTAGTGAGAACCAAAACCTCTAGCACTAGGGAATAGGAAAAGTACCCCTGGACTTCCACCCTCAGCCTCCCCAGCATTTCCTCCAGCTCTGGATCCAGCCTTGCTTCCCTCTCCCACTTCCCATCCCCCCTCCCCCCTACACACACGCAAAGCAGCCTGCCATCTAGCTGAGACAGCTGTAGAGCCTGAGTAAGGGATCGCCCCCAGGGGGCCAGACATTTAAGGGCTGGGTGACTCCCAGTGGCCCCACTTTTGGGGCAAAGGAAGGAGGAGACTGGCCACCCTGCAGTCCAGGCGCCAGCTGAGACTGCAGAGCCGTGGACACAGCATTCGAGTGTTGGGAGGACTGGTGAGCGCGGAAGGTAAGGCTTCTCTCTTCCCTCAGGATGGGGCAGAGCTTGCTGCTGCCTTCTGAGTCCAGACTCAGACACAGGGTAGAGGGCAGGAGCTGGGACGGGAGTGGTCTCAGAACCCAGAGATAGAAGTGGCCCTGGCAGAGAGATGGGGGGAGTAGAGGGGTGGTAAAGATCAGCCCCAAACCACCTGGCTCAGAAGAAGGCCTTTGGGCTCTCTGGAAGGCCTGACTGGAGTCAGGAGGCCAGGCGTCTGCTCTGAGTGACCTTGGACAGGGCATTTCTCTCAGACATTAGTTCCCTCATGTTTACTAATTAGGGGTTTAACAATGGCAGTGCTGATTAAAGGATGGCAGGTACATCCATTCATTGAAACACTGTGTAGCTGTTAACGGGAATGAGGAAAGTCTTTATAACTGGTGTGGAAAAATCTCCAAGACCCGTATTAAGTGAAAAAAGAAAGAGTAGGATAGTATGTGTAATAGGCTACCTTACGTGTCAAAAGGAAGAGGACAAGAACATGTTCGATACTCCTGTTTGCATGACGGCGCTCCAGGAGGAGCCCAGAGACCACAGTGTACCTATTGCGATGGGGCGGGCTGGGACATGGGGGGACTCTGGAGGGGCAGGGAGCCTCTCTGTGTAGATTTTTATTTTGTTTCACTGCTTATGTGATCGAATTACCAGCTCAAAGAAAAACATGAGAAATAAAAACTAAACCTCTGCCTTTACCGCGTCACAAAGGAAAGCAGAGCTGTAGAAATGGTTGCCATCTGTGTTAGCATTCCACCTATGCCAGCGGCCCCCAGGGCCAGGAAGAAGATCTGCAGCTTCCTTGTAAGGCCCACTCCAGTGTGGCTTAGTCAGGAGGTTCCTTCTTAGGTCTGACTTCATTCCCTCCTGATGAAACATACAGCACTGCCTCCCTAGTTCCGTGTAGCTATCAATAGGTATCCTCAACACCCCCTGGGCCTTACAGTCGGCAGGGTAAGTCTAAGCCCCATGTCCTTTCCCTCCAAGACCATACACAGAAGGGTTTGGAGTTAGTGAGGGGAGAAGCCCCTTGGTTCCTGTAACCAGCCAGGGAAAGGGAGCTAGGAAGGGAAGAAGAGAGGCTGGAGAGGAGAGGCTTGCTGCCTGACTGCTCTCTGGGCCCCCTCCTGTGCACATCCATCTCCCCTGTGTCCACACACACCTCTCTGAATCTCCCTCCTACTCCCTCCCTTGTCCTTCATGGCCTCATCCTCTCCCCGGTCCTCACAGGTGAGTGCCCACGCCTGCTGTCACCATGGCAACCATGTACCACCAGCAGATGATGCAGGAGCATGTGTCCATGGAGTTCTCTAGCTCCTCCACCCACGTGCAGACCTTCTCCCAGACAACCAAGATCGTGGGAGGCAAGTGGAGTGGGAATGAGGGAGGGATTGAGAAGGGACAGTCGTTCTTCCTTCACACCCACACCCACCCACTGGGTGGCCTCAGTCTTTGCCACTAATGGGCCTCTCAGAGGCCCACAAAACCAACAGCAACCCCCTCCCAACCTGTGCTGCTAATCTGGGCTTTGATAAAGTTTCAGCCAATTGGATGTTCACCACAGATCAGATCTCCAGGAAACAGCTTAGGAAAAATCAATCACATGGATATTTGTGAATGATAAACTCTTAATTGTTTAAGGAGATCAGAGCCATAGGTAAATGAATTCTATCTCTGATGGTAGAATTTTAGACATGGGGAAATTAGTAGCCACCTTATCTACATATGAGTAATGCTGACCCTGCTCCATTTAAGAAATAGGAGACTTGGTGCTACCAGTGCAGAGAGGACAGACATGTAAACAAGTGACCTAAGCATCCAGGCTCTTAGCCCTTAGGGGCCAGACTTGGGGGAGGGCAGATCCAAGGGAAAGCTGAGAAATGGTCTCAGAGCAGAGCAGACTGTTTTAGTTGTGTCTCTAGTGGAAAGAGATTAAAAGAGGGCCAGGGGCCAGGATATTGAATACCCCTTCTCACAGTCTCAGCCCCTCCCTCAAAGTCCCAGAGGGACAGAGTCACTCAAAGTCCTCTGTGCATAGAGGTCAAAGCCAGGTAAACACTCTATACCAACTAACCCCTCCTGGCCAGTGAGGCAGAGCAGTTGGAATAGCTGGGACTCAAGGCCCGTGGTCTAGACCAGCAGTTGCAAACACAAGTGATGTATAACGGTGATTCTCAGAGTCACTGCAGTGTAGCGGGTGGGAGAGAGGGGGGGGTGAAAAAATGATGATAGCTGAGTATCACCCCAAACCATTAAATCAGGTATTTTTTTAAAGCTCTCCAGGGATTCTAATGTGCAGCCAGAGTTGAAAACCACCGGCCAACAGTGTCCAGGCAGGGAACATAAATGTGCGAGAAAGTGAAGAGGACATGCCCCAACGAAAGGGACAGCCACTATTCACCTCCCACTGACTGTTGCCATATTGGACTCTGAGTCTAGTGTTGAGAATCCAGAAAACTGAATTTTTATGTGAAATCTTTCCATTTTCAGAGGTAGGGCTACTTTTTTGTTTAAACATTGTGGAGATCAAATAAAAGACAGCTGCAGGCCAGGTGTAGCCTGCATACTGCCTGTTTGAGACCTCTGGTCATTATTTAAAAGCAGGCCATGAGAGCTTCTTAACACATGTTTTTCATCTCAGTCCCTGAGATTAGTGGGGGATAACAAAGGTCGCTACTTCACTGGGATGCAGTGAGGGTTAAATAAAATCATCTCTGATATGTACCTAACACAGTTCCTGACACAAGGAAAATGCTTCCTGATTCAGAGCAATTGTTATGAACTGATAACTCACCAGCCAAGATTTTCTGTAGTTTATACTGCAAAAGCACTGGTTTGTTTTCCAAATATAAAATTATATTACCACGATGGATATGCTCTTTTAGATGGGGAGATTCCCGTATATAGCCCCCCCGGAGTGGGACAGTGTCCTGTTTTTCACTCCAGGATCACCACTCCCCAGGCAATGAATGCTGAACCCACAGAATGGCACGGAGAAAATCCAGAGCAGAAGCAGGCCTGGCCCCCTCTTCATTCTACTGGGGAACCAGAACTTCCAGGAGAGAAGCCCAAAGACCAAGGAAATCCCAAAAGGGAAGACTCCTTTTTAAAAAAGAAAAAAAAAAATAGGACTCAGGGCCATGACCCAAAAAGGTGATTGACCGCTGAGGTGTGGGAAAGGAGTTAGCGTCCCCTCGTGGTCGAAGTTTGCCATAACACGCTGACCCGTCGACTCAGGTCCTCCTTTCTCCGACGAAGCTGGTCCTGCCCCGCTTGCCTTAAGCGTCATTTGTGCCCATGCTCCACTGTCCCCGCAAGAAAAGCTCAGTCCTCCGATCCCGGGCTGAGCTTCCACCCGGAGCCCGTTCTGACCAATCGCCTGCCCCCACAGAGGAAGTCGTGACGAGGAAGTCCTCGAGCACAGTGGAGCTCTTCAGCTTGGTGACCCGGAGTTCCGACATCCCTGCGGGCGAGAGCGTCCCTGAGTTCGTGGAGAAACCTCAGCCAATGACCGCACCCGAAGGTGTGTCGCTCCCCGTGTCCCCGCAGGCCCCGCGTGCTTCGCTTTCTAACCTAATCCCCCAGCCCGCTCTGCCATCCCACCGCCCCCCAGTACACAGACACTGGCGGAGCCTGGCCCCGGGCTCCTCCTCGCCCCAGGGCCACCGCCAGGTCTCTGGGAGCAGGCGGGGAGGGGACAGAGGGTCTAGACTGGTGGCTAAGAGGGGAAAATGCGTCCTGTGCCCACCGCAGGGGATAAAGCCGTGTTCCGAGTCCGGGTGCAGGGCAACCCCAAGCCCAGCATCTCCTGGAAGAGTGAGAGCGGCATCCCCATCGAGGAGTCCGCCAAGATAGTCTACGACAGCGTTAACAAGGAGCACGTGCTCAAGGTGCGGAGACCTGCGCCGGAGGTCCAGCCACCGACGAGGCCGGAGGCAGGGGACCCCGGGGGGGGGGGCCGCCAGTTCTCTCGCCGCCCAGACAGCCACAGCGGCGACCCGAAAACTGGGCGCTGGGGAAAGAGGCTGTCATTGCTGTAGAGGCGCGGCGGGATGACAGAGGCCAAGTCTGGAGCTGGGGTATCGCCAGAAAGAGCAGAGGACCGAAATTACGGGCGGGCCGAAGCACAGCTAGGGCAAAGCCAGAGCGAGGCGGAGGCAGGGCCAAATGCAAGCAAAGGGACAGTTTGAGAAGGGAACCAAAGGGTGAGGGAGCCAAAGGGAACCAGACACCCAGCCGATGGGCGTGGCCAGAAGGGGCGGGACCATGGTGGATGGGGCTAGGCCTAGTTGGGGTGGCACCCGGAGGCGAGGAAGGACTGGTCTCAGAGCAGGGGTGAGGGTCAGGGGTCCTGGACTCTTCCACTGGTCCCTCCAGAAGAGTCTCGCTGAGGGCCGATCATCCTTAGGTCTAACCAACTTCAGGGACATTCTGACAGCTGGGTCTGCCCAGCTGCACCCTCTGTCTCCAGGCCCTTTGAGGAGAGGGAGGGATAGGTCAATGGGACACCTAGGCTTATCATGACTCCTGTCCCTATAATTACTCGGGTCCTGCCCCAACTTCCCATTGTGAAAGGCAAAGTCTCCCCCGGCCCCTACAGACAGGTCCCTTCTCCTCCCAAGGACCCATCACTGGACCCTCACCCCGACCAGAGCACACACAAGCTGGCCCGGAGTCCCCCTACTGGCCAGCTTACACAAGCTCATGCATTCAGCCAACACTTTCTGAGGACAAACACCCTGGCTTCTGGCTGTGAGCACCATGCAGATGGACACCAAGTTGGCCTTCCTCACCACTGTTTCCTCTGGGGCTCAGCCCGGTGCCTGGTACAGAGAAGTAAATTATGTTAAATGAAAAGCTCAGCCCAGTGGCAGAAACTGCACGTAGATTTACAAGGCTGAGGAAGGAAGTCCCTGCCTTCTAGGAGCTCACAGCCAAGGAGGAGAGTCTGATGGGGAAGCAATTTGATTGCCATGGAATCAGGTTTCCAACACACATACACTGACTGCCACCTCACACCTCCAAATCATAGAAACTGCTCCATCCTCTACACATATACCCAACACTCACCTCCTCCCCACCCCTTGCAAAAAAAAAAAAAAAGCCCTCCTTCCCCATCTCATGGAAAGTCTCCCTGTGGTTCCTTCCCCCTCCCCAGCTAATGGCCTGACTCTTACCCAGCTGGAGCCACTGACCTCTGATGACTCTGACAACTACAAGTGCATTGCAAGCAATGAACATGCAGATGCCATCTACACTGTGTCCCTGCTAGTGAAGGTGAGCCAGCCCCCTCCTCCTGGTCTTCCCTCTTAGGGACTAGATGCCCCCCTTTCTGACCCTGTCCCTCTCTCTGTCTTCAGGTCAAGAGAAGATGGATTTCAAAAAGATGTTGAAGAAGAGGTAAGGTTGGGAGGCCCTTCTGCACAGGGTGCTGTCTCCCCACCCAGGCTGGAGCCTCTTGAAGGCCTCTCTCAACAAGGCCCTGAGTTCCAAGAATCTGTGGAGTGGGGAGGGGCATCTCAAGGTTGGAAAAGGCTTCCTCTGTCTTCAGAGGGAGGCTCTGAGTATAAGCTCAGTTCCCTCCTATTCCCAGGGCTCCCCCTGCTCCCAAGAAGCAGAAGAAGGTGGCAAATGAGAAAGAGATGCTGGAGACTTTGTCCAAGGTGCCCAAGAAGGACTTTGAGAAGGTCTGCATGGAGTATGGTTTCACCGACTTCCCGGGGCTACTCAAGAAGCTCAAAGAGATGAAAAAGAAAGTGGAGGTGGAGGTCAGTGCCCAGCAGGGACAAGGGTATGCAGGCCAGGGGCTGAGCCTCACCAAAAGTGCTAGTGCCTCTACATCTCCCAGTAGCAAGGTCCCCCCCACCCTGCACACACATACTCAGAGGCATATTCTCTGCTGCGAGAGGAAGAAAGGAACTCAAGTTACCTTGCTTCTACCTCTCCTCTCATCCCCACTCCCTAATGTACTTGCGTGGACTTTGGAGTTAGAGAGACCTGGATTCAAATCCCAGTTCCATTGCCTTATTAGCTGTGTGAACTTGGGTCTCTTTTGAGCATCAACTTCCTCGTCTACAAAATGAAAATTATACTTTCCTCTTTCATGTGTTTTTGGGTTGTTGTCACTCATTCATTCAATCAACCAACTCATATTAAGCATCTACACTGGAATTAAAGTGTCTATATAATGGCTCAGGTATATAGCGACTGTTCCACAAATGGTAGTTCTTTTCTGATTCTGTCATACTCCTTTCCTCCTAAATCTTCCAACTGATCAATGGGGTGGAAGGGGGAGCCCACTTATTTCTCCCCAGGCCCTTAGGGACTCCTCCAGGATTGGGGACAGGCTCCAGATACAGCTGACACTTGGTATTTTATAATCACAATCTCTCAGGCCATCAGGATTCTGAAACCTCTGGAAGACATGGAGACCAAGGTTGACACAACAGTAGCCTTTGACTATCATGGAGCTGAAGGACACCAATACCAAGATGATATGGCTCAAGGTGGGGAAGGGCCTGGCCAGGGCCCACCCTGGCAATATCATTTCCTCTCTGCACCCACTCCCTTCTCAGACCCTCTTGTTATCCATATCCAAGGGCCTCTCTTCCATCCCATCAAGAAGATACCCCTTGGTATGGTTGTAAGAGACTGGGAACTGGGCTCTATTCTTAGCTGTTCCCCCACTTTGCTGTTTGATCTGAGACAGTTACATTCCTGTCTATGCCTCAGTCTACCCATCTTTAAACTGAAGGCTAGATTAGATAGTCCTGAAGGTCACTGAAGACCTGTGTCTCCGCCTGAAATCCTAGCACTCTGGGAGGCCGAGGCAGGTGGATCGTTTGAGCTCAGGAGTTCGAGACCAGCTTGAGCAAGAGCGAGACCCCATCTCTACTAAAAATAGAAAGAAATTATCTGGACAACTAAAACTATTAGAAAAAATCAGCCGGGCATGGTGGCACATGCCTGTAATCCCAGCTACTCGGGAGGCTGAGGCAGAAGGATCACCTGAGCCCGGGAGCTGGAGGTTGCTGTGAGCTAGGCTGATGCCACGGCACTCTAGTCCGGGCAACAGAGTGAGACTCTGTCTCAAAAAAAAAAAAAAAAGACCTGTGTCTCTAAGAAAAAGCATCTGATGAACTCATTCACATTAGGAGTTTAGGCCTGGGAGGAGCCTGTGGGGAGGCAGGGTCTGGATCCCACCAAGCCAGATGATGAGGCTAGAAAGATTGTAGGGGCCTCTGGGTGTGTTTAGAGAGGTGGACTTGTACCCTCTAGCTCAGGAAGAATTTGGGGAATGGGGAGATCTGGAAGTCTCCTCAAGTCAATTCTCAGCTTTCCTACCTGTTCCATGAGACAGGGTACTGAGCCACTGAGGATCCAGTACTCCCTGGGCAAGTACGATGTGAAGCAGATGGGCACCAAGTACATGCTGGTTATTACCAATGTGAACATGAACGACGCCAGCATCTACAGCCTGTCTGTAGGCGACAAGCGGATGAGTGCAGAGCTCATAGTGCTGGGTATGAGTGTGGGCATCGGGGGGCACAGGGTCAGAGGAGAGGAATGGGCAGGGGTGGAGTCCAGGGGGATAAGGGAGAGGACTGCATGGGGATGGGAGTTCATGGAGGGATGAAACATGAAATGTAAGGGAGAGGACTGTGAGATAAGTGCCATGGAGCAGTGTAGCCTAGTAGTTAAGAACACAGACTCTGGAGCTAGACTACTGGGGTTCAAATTCCAGCTGCTGCCACTATGAGCTGTGTGATTTAGGGCAAGTTACTTAACTTCTCTTTGCCTCAGTTTCCCTATCTGTAAAATCGGGAATAACAGTAGAATCTACGTATGTGAGAATTGGATGAATTAATGTGTGCAAATTGGCTAGAATAGTGCTTCACATGTATCTGAAACTATATAAATACTTCTTTAAACTGCTGTTAACATTACTACAGAGGAGACCAAGTGAACGTCATGGGAGGGGACTCCAGAGAAGAAGGGTTCGCAAGCAGAAGGAAAGGAAGGGTGCTTCCCTCCAACTAAGGGCTACTGGAGGCCAAAGACACCTGAGTCCCCATGTCGCCTTCACTGTCCCACCTTTCAGGGGGACCAGGGCTGCAGCCCAATGACTGCCTCTCCTACTCTCTGGTGCAGATGAGCCGCTAAAGTTCTTGGGAGATCTGAAGCCACAGAAGGTGACAGAGCGCCAGACAGCAGTGTTTGAGATCCGCCTCTCCAAGAAAGATCCCAACTTTGTGTGGAAGTTCAATGGGAAGGAACTGAAGAGGGATGACAAGTATGAAATCACGGTGTCTGAGGATGGTCTGACCCATACACTTAAGATTAAGGATGCCAGACTCAGTGACAGCGGCGAGTTCTCTGCCCAAGTGGGGAACCTGGAACAGAAGGCCCAGCTCACCATTGACCATGAGTAGTTGGGCAAGAGCCTGAGGGGTGGGCTTCGTGCCACAGCGGCCTCCATGCGGGCATTCGTCATCCATCTATCCATCCATCTCTTCTTTGCAAGGTCCTATGATGGGTACTAGAAAGATAGGGTGTTCTCCTCTCTGTTAACCTCTAGTGGCGGAGGCAGATGTGAAAATGAAATTAGAATCAGTTCTTATTCCAAGAGCCAAGATACAATGGGGTCTTATTATCATCTGGGAGATCATGGACCAAGAAACTATAGTTCTAATGTCATATATTACAGCACATCTGTGTCACTCTTGACTGCTCGCATTCTGATATTATAACTAGTTTAAGGATCTGTACATGATGGAGTATACACCAATGACCATGTCATACATGTGAACCACACCTGAGATCTGTGTCACATGGAATCATCATTGCTGTGATGGAGAGAGATGCAGAGGCTGTAGGAGCCCCCAAAAAGGGCTGAAAAATGTCATAAATGATACGATGAGGTGATGTCTGAGCTGTACCAAGAACAAAAAGGAGTTCAGCTTCCAGAGAAGGGGGGAGAGAAGAGAACATCCCCAGCAGAGGTGACAGCACGTCCAGAGGCCCAGACACCAGAAAGACAATGCAGGTGTGCCTGGAGCTCCAACAGGGGTTGTTAGAGATCTTGACTGTGGCACTGTGGAAGTTCTTTTCCCATTTTACATATGAGGAAACTGAGACTCAGAGAGGCAAATGAGTTGTGTACAATCAACTGCCAAGTAAAGGGCAGAGCTGAGACTCTACTTGTCAGGTACTTCGGTGGGTCACAGATTGCACACAAACACATTCAACGTTGCAAATTCCTGCCAAAAAGAGGGGCAGGGCAGCATGTAGCTGCAGAAAAAGGATATAGTGGTTTGGGAGCAGGCCAAAGTGTCTGTCTGTCCGCAGGCACCCCCATCAAGTTTGTGAGCACCCTCAAAATTGTACGTGTGAAAGAGAGGAGTCGCGCATGCCTGGAGTGTGAGCTGACATCCAAAGATGTGACCCTGCACTGGAAGAAGGACGGACAGCTGCTGGCACATGGCACTAAGTACAGCATGAACCACGAGGGCAAGCGAGCAGAGCTCATCACTGATGATGCACAGCTCAGCGACGATGGCGAGTACACTGTGGTGGCCATGCAGGATGGGGACCCCACTGAATACTACAGCACTGCCACTGTCACTGTGGATGGTAAGACCCACCCTGTCAATCCCCACTGACCAATCCCTCTGATCCTGCACTCCCCTAAGGTGGACATTGATCTGCCCCACTACTGACCCCAACCCTCCCCCAGACCACGGCCAACTTGTACCTCTCCACTCCACCACCCCCATCTCCCCAATCCTAACCATGCGCTGAACATCCACACCTCCTGGTAATTCCCTGTCTCCCAGACTTTATCCCAAATTCCCTGACTTCATTCTTCACTTTCAGACTCTAATCATTCGTAGCAACCCTGATCATCCCAACTTCTTGATCCCTCACCAGACCCATTCTCCACTGCCCCTGGCTACCCCCAAGCCCAGTGACCCTGGACATCCCACAGAGGAGCATAAGCACAACTAAACATCCCAACTCCACTAATCACCTGCATCTCCGCCAGCCATTTCCCTCTTCAGCCAATCATCCTAAGTCCCACTGACCATGGTTCACTAATCAACTCCCCATTAACCAACTTCCAGTCTTCCTGGCCATCATTTCCCAAGCCACTGACCTTTCCCCAACCCCTTCCCACCTACTTACTACTTGCCCCCATCCCCCAATGGCCCACTGACCATTGGCAAACCACCTGTTCATCATAAATTATTTTGATTGACGCAGCACCTGACCGTTCCCACGACCAAAGCCACCCGCCCTTTTCCTATGAGTACCCTCCGCCCCAACACCCTGACCCATTCCTGCCCGCTTTCTCCCCAGAGCCTCTGGCCACGGTGAAGAGCGGGATGTCAGATGTGCGCGCGGCCACCGGGAGCCCGGCCGAGTTGTGCGTAGTGCTGAACGACGAGAAGGTGGAGGGTGTGTGGCTGAAAGATGGCAAAGGGGTCCGAAGCAGGCGCCGGGGAAGGGGGCGAAGGAGGTCGACCTGGCCCACGCTCGCACTCACGGCCGCTCCTGGCCCCCCCAGATCACGGACTTGCCGGGCGTGCAGATCGTGAAGCAGGGTGCGGTGCACAAGCTCATCTTCCCCAATACGGGCCCGGAGCACGAGGGCAAGTACATGTTCAGGGCCAAGGGCGCCGAGAGCGAAGCCTCCTTGTTCATCGCAGGTATGGTCTGACCCAAGGTAGGCAAAGTTCAACCGCGCCTGGCCCGCCCACATGCTAATAGCTCCTCCCCCTTTCCCATCGGCTCCTCCCCCACCCCCAGGCACAAGACTTCCCTGCCGCCCCGCCCTGCAGATCCTCCTACCATCGACCCTTAGGTACTGGAGGCACTAGCGGCACACCCAGTGACCGTGAAGGTGGGCCACACGGCCCACATCGAGGTGCCTTTCCGGGCAAAACCGCTGCCCAAAGTGACGTGGTACAAAGACAGCATGGAGGTGACTGAGGAGGAGCGCGTGTCCATGGAGCGTGGAGAAGACCAGGCGCTGCTCACCATCACAAAGTGCGTGCTTGAGGACAGTGGCCTTGTCCTGCTCAAGTGCAAGAATGACCACGGCTCAGTCACGGCCACTCTGCACCTCAATGTGCTGGGTGAGGGCAGGGCTGGGCTGGGCTGGGCGCACCAGCTGCCCAGGCTCAGGATGGAAGGCAGGCTGGGAAGGAGGCTGGGAATGGAGTTGGAGTTGGGGCTGGGAATGGGACTGGAGGACTGGCTTTGCAGCCAGGAGCTAGCTTCCTAACTTCCTAACCAGGTGGCCTTGGTCAAGTGAACCTCTCTAAGCCTCAGCTTCTCACCAAGAACAGGGAGATATTTTGCCCCTCGTATCTATTTCTAGTGAATTTAAAGTGCATAGCCGAGTGCACAGCACACAGTAGACCTTCAAATAAGTTACTTAAGTTTGTTATTGACTGGAGGATGAGGACATGGTTGGACATAAGGTGGAAATGAGGTGAAAGAGGTGGGATCCAGGGATGGAGGTGAGGTTGACGGGGAAGAGTAGTGAGGATGCAAGTGAAATGGAGTGGGTGGGAGGTGAGTTAGGGCTGGGGATTAATAAGCTGGGAGAGGAAGATGGAATAGGGGGTGAGAATGAGACTCAGGATTGGTCTGAACATGAGGATAAGGAAAGAGGTGAGGAGCTGGCCTGAGTGAACATGCAACACACACACATCGTCACCACCTCCTCCACCTGCATTTCCATCGAGCCGAGGGGTAAGGTCTGCATTTCAATTCAGTTCAGCAGCATGACTGAGCACCTCCTCTGTGTGTTCAGTGCTGGAGACGCAGAGATGAAGTATCCCCAGCAGTTCCTCAACCCAAAGGGGATGAAACTGGTAGACAGATATGTAATTATAACATAAATTGTGATACCAGAAAGCACTGGTGTTCTGGAAGCTCAGAAGATGGGGAGAACTTTTCTGGAAGAGGACAGGTGATCAGGAAAGCAGGGACCCTCAGGTCTCCAGGCCACCCATTCCTAGGCAGGTGGGAGGCTCAGGGGGACAAGGATCAAACTCTTTGGGCAAGTCTTAGAAGGAGGAGCGATGGACACAGGCAAGGGCAAGGGATTCCAAAAACTCGGGATCCAGCTGTGCCCCATCCTGGCCAGACCTTCAGTGAGTGGGAGGAGGCCCTTCTGATCCTTGGCTCCAAAGCCCCATTTTGAAGCTGTTCTCTGTCCCCAGACTGTCCCAAGCCTCCGCAGGGCAAGGTGGAGTTCCTGGAGCTCTCAGGTAGTTGTGTGCACATGAAGTGGAAGGCTCCAAAGGACAACGGCGGGCGTCCTGTGACACAGTTCATAGCGGAACAGAGGGCAGTCGGCAAGAAGTCCTGGATTAAGATAGGCGAGGTGGACAGCAAAGTCACCAACTTCTCCACCAACAAGGTGGAAGAGGGAAAAGCCTACCAGTTCCTTATCCTGGCGGTCAATTCAGAAGGAGCAAGCGACCCACTGGAGACTGACGAAGTGTTTGCAGGAAATCCCATAGGTCAGTGGGATTGCCTGCGCTCAGTGGGGAACCCAGGGGTCAGGACGGGGCCTTCAGCCAGTGAGGAACACTGGTCCGTGGGAAGCTCCACAGGATCATCTCTCTAGCTGTCCTGTGACACAGACTGATTCCAGAACATCACTTCGGGCAGGAATTCTCAACTTCTGCCAGTCATATCACATGCACAATACACTCCCATACGTATATGAAGTACATGCACAATTCCAGGGAGACGACTCCCCTTTCTCCATTCCAGAAATCATCCCAGAATCCAAGAGAACATGATGTTGCTTTAGGGGTAACCTTGAATCCACTCTAATTTTTTTCCCAAAGAAAACCCTTGATGACACCAGCATTTTAATTATGATTGCTAATAAATTACTTGCTACACCCTTCCCAGCTGATCTCCATATCTTAGTGTGTCAAGACAGTAGATTGAGAATTGTGGTCTGGGGGGTCACACAGGTGGGAAGGTGTTAAGTCAGTGATTCTCAATCTTGGCTACACATTAGAATCACCTGAGGTCTTTAAAAAATACTAAACACCTGCCCTCCACCCCAGGCCAATTAAATTAGAATATTGGGCCAAGCAAGGTGACTCATGCGCATAATACTAGCACTTTGGGAGGCCAAGGCAGAAGAATCACTTGAGCCCAGGAGTTGGAGACCAGCCTGAACAACACAGTGAGACCTCATCTCTACTAAAAATAGAAAAATTAGGAGAATATAGTGGCACACGCCCATAGTCCTAGCTACTCAGGAGGCTCAGGCAGGAGGATTGCTTGAGCCCAGGAGTCTGAGAGGTTACAGTGAGCTATGATGATACCACTGCATTCTAGCCTGGGCAACAAAGTGAGACCTTGTCTCAAAAAATAAATAAATAAATTGGAATATCAAAGTGTAGAACTCAGACACTAGTTGTTGTTGGTGGGTTTGTTCTTACTCTTCACTTGATGTTAATGTGCAACCAGAGTTAAGAATCATTAAAGGTTTTTTTTTTTTTTTTGAGACAGAGTCTCACTATGTTGCCCAAGCTAGAGTGCCGTGGCATCAGCCTAGCTCACAGCAACCTCAAACTCCTGGGTTCAAGCGATCCTTCTGCCTCAGCCTCCCGAGTAGCTGGGACTACAGGCATGCGCCACCATGCCTGGCTAATTTTTTCTATATATTTTTAGTTGTCTGATTAATTTCTTTCTATTTTTAGTAGAGACGGGATCTCGCTCTTGCTCAGGCTGGTTTCGAACTCCTGAGCTCAAACAATCCGCCCGCCTCAGCCTCCCAGAGTGCTAGGATTACAGGCGTGAGCCACCGCACCTGGCCTCATTAAAGGTTTTTTTGGCCAGGCACAGTGGCTCACATCTGTAATCCTAGTACTTTGGGAAGCCAAGGCAAGAGAATTGCTTGAGGCCAGGAGTTCAAGACCAGCCTGAGCAAGAGCGAGACCCTGTCCCTACAAAAAATAGAAAAATTAGCCAGGCGTGGTGGTGTGCACCTATAGTCCCAGCTGCTGTGAAGGCTGAGGCAGGAGGATTGCTTGAGCCCAGGAGTTTGAGGTTGCAGTGAGCTATGAAGATGCCACCACACTCTAGCCTGGGTGACAGACTGAGACCCTGTCTCAAAAACAAACAAAAAAAATTCAGTAAAGTTTTTTTTAAGGAGGGGCAGAAGTTGGCGTGGAGTAGGCAGCTGTTTACATGCTCCCCCTTCCTGACCTTTGCCCTCTCTCTGTCCCCCACAGAGCCCCCTGGTCTTGCATCCCAGCCTCAAGTGGCTGATGTGACCAAAGAGGCTGTGACCATCACATGGAATGCCCCTACCCAGGATGGGGGAACCCCAGTGCTTGGCTACATGGTAGAGCGAAGGAAGAAAAGCAGTAACCTGTGGGTGCCAGTCAACAAGGACCCCATCCAAGGTGAGGTCCTGGGGACAGAGGCCCAAGAGAGACCAAAGGAGTGGACCCATTGCTACTCTGAATGTCCTTCCTCCTCTAACTATTTTGGAAGTTTTAACAACATCCCACAACCTCCTCTTCCTTGGTCTCTCACTCTGGTCTCTCACCCCATGGACACTCCTGGCCTCACAACCCCTCATTTTCCCATTTCAGGCACCAAGTACACTGTGGATGGTCTCCTGAGGACACAGAATATGAATTCCGAGTTATAGCTGTAAATAAGGCAGGCCCTGGGCACCCCAGTATGCCGTCCAGCTCAGTAGTGGCCAAAGATCCCATTAGTGAGTATGGAGCTGCCGGGCCCCAGAACATAGTAGAATTAGCTCATTCAAAGTAGAGAGAGAATTTCTTCCCTGGGAAAGTCACCCAGTCTCCACTCTCCAGAAGCTGCCATCCTCCTAGAGGGACAGGATTCACACACAGACAAAGCAGAAAATAAAGATTGAGAGTCAGGGACAGTGAGGACGTTGGATGCAAAAAAGTTTTTATCAAGCTTTGAGCACTTCTGGTTAGGTGAGGTCACAGGCATGGTGAGGATTGAGGGAGGGTGCTGAGTTTGGGAAGCAGGGTGGGAGTGCTACCTGTCAATGTGGTGGAGATGGCTGGGTTAAAGGCTGGGGTTTTGAATATAGTGTATGTATAAGGTATGTTGGATTTAGAGGGTATTGACATTAGGGTGAAAGTATGGAGTCAGTAAAAGAATTAAATTTGAATTTGGAGGTTGTTGAGTGTGCAAGGTTAGGTACTGAGGGAGTTAACTGTGGGAGTTGGAGGTAGAAGTGGTGAGAGATAGGGTTCAAGAGCACTAAGTGTGGGAAGTGGGCATGGCATTGAGTGGGGATGAGTTTGGGAGCTGACTGTCTGTCTGTTCTACCCCAGAACACGTGTCTGATTCCTCCAACTCCAGCATTTCCCTGGGCTGGCGGGAGCCTGCAGAGGGAGACCCACCCTCTGGCTACATCCTTGAGATGCGGGCTGAAGACAGCAAAGAGTGGTCCAAGTGCACAAAGATCCCCATCTCAGGCACCTGCTACACCATGGGAGGCCTCACCGAGAGGCAGAAATACTTCTTCCGAATCCGGGCTGTGAACGAGGCTGGGGTCGGGGAGCCTGTGGAGCTAGATGAGGGAGTCCGTGCCATGCCACCACCAGGTGAGGACATAGAGAGGGCTGAGGGTTCATGCCCAACATCCTAGCTTCCTCCCTGGGGCCTCATTCCACAGGAGAAAATTGGGTGATTCTATGATCAAGAAAAAGTCATACATACCTGTTGTACCTGGACAGAGCTAGGGGTAACCCCAGGGGCACCCCTGCTTTAAAAAAAAGACTCATTGTGTGCTAAATAGTATCAACTCTGTGTCAAGGGAGATAGAAACAAGACACAGGACCTACCTTCCAGGGTCTTACATGCTAGTAGAAAAAGACACGAGAAAACAAATGCTTCATAGTGTTGCAGAGCAGCAAGATGTCTGTATGGCCTTTAGTGAGGGCAAAAAAGAGAAGAGGTTGGGAAAGGCTTTGGTAGAGAGGCTTAAAGCTGAGTCTTCTTGAAAGAGAGGCCCATCCCCCACCTCTGTCTCCTCCATCTCATCTATGCCCAGGTTTGACCTCAGTGCCCGGCTGAAGAGTCACATGGTGGTTCGTGTGGGGACAGCCCTCTGCATCCACGCAGCCTTCTCCGTGAGTTCTTCCTGACCGTCGCCCCCATATGCTCTTCACATAACCAAGATGGCTACTGTAGCCATCACTAGTCTCTGCCTCTGACTCTGCCCCTCACCAGATCCCTGGTGCTAAAGCCTGACAGGAGACTCCTCGACATAGGGCGGCGGGGGGGAGGTCCTATGCCCAAATACCATCTAGGTCTGTGGTCCCCAACCCCGGGGCCACAGCCCGGTACTGGTCAGTGACTTGTTGGGAAACAGGCCACGCATCACTACCTGAGCTCTGCACCATACGCACCCCACCCCCGGACCATGGAAAAATTGTCTTCCATAAAACCAGTGCCTGGTGCCAAAAAGGTTGGGGACCACTGATCTAGGTGACCAATGGTGCCATCTCTTGTCACCACCCAGGGCTCACCACCGCCCGACGTGATCTGGCAGAAAGATGGCATCCCCACCAAGGGCCAGGAAACCATCACCAAGAGACCAAGAGCAAAAACCACTCCCAGTTCCTCATCAATAGCACCAAGCGCTCTGACTCAGGAGTGTACCGACTCTTGCTCCAGAATGAGTTTGGAGAGGCACACTACAACATCCATGTGCGTGTGGCAGGTACGGAATTCCTACCATGGGAAAGTTGTGCCTTATGGTAGTGAAGCCTTCTTTGACACCACAAAACCAAACTTTGTCAGCCTTTGCCTAGTGAGGGTTGTTTCCCTGCTTTTTCTCAAGGGCCTGAAGCCCTGGAGGCATTGAACCAGGACCAAGCCCTTGTTTCAGTTTCTGCAGTCCTATCTGCAGAGTATGGTCGGCAGAGAAAGTAGAGAATGGGTGGAGGGTGGGAGGGGCAGGGAGAGATGAATCCATTAAAAATTAGGGTGACCTCTTAGAAAGGGCTGGAAGCTATATAACAAAGCTCTAAATGGCCAAGGAAGGAAGGGATGGACTTTTATTGAACAGTAACTACATGCCAGGCACTTTACCCACTATTTCCATGAAATAGTCATTGTTAGCCCTATTTTGCAAATGAGGAAAGGGCTTTCAGAAAAGATAAGTAGTTTGCCCAAAGTCACAGGGCTGGCAAATGGCAGAGCAGCACTTCAAAAACAGGTTTTTCTGACTCTAAGACACCAGCTGCCTTAGACTAAGAAGGGATGTGCCCCATCCCACCTACATCAGGCTTGGCAGGTGGCTAGGGTGGGGGCACGATACTTCAGACCCCCCAAGGTCACTTACAGACCTTCCAATTCTTCCAGATTTCCCCCGGCCCCCCACAAACCTACAGCTGTTTGAGGAAGTCCCCAACACGGTGACTCTGACCTGGAACCACAGCAGGAGGACGGTGAGGCCCACTACGTCATCATGAAGCGGGATGCAAGCACCGCCACCTGGTACACTGCCGAGCGTGTCTTCAGCAACAAGTACACAGTGACTGGGCTCCTCCCAGGCAGGAAGTGCTACTTTAGAGTGGTGGCCCGGAATGAGATCGGTGACAGCGAGCCGCTAGACTCCAGGGATACCTGGCTCGTCAATAAGGACCCGAGTGAGTAAGGGGGCTTGAGGGTTCGGGTTAAGTCTGGGAGCCCTGATGGAGGGGATGGCATGAGGGTCACAAGGAGTACCCGAGAGGTGAGAGAAAAATCTGAGAACCCTTGCCATGAAAGAGTTCACGTCTGGGACGCTGGGGAGAGAAGTAGATGTTGGAGAAGCCTAGCCGGGTGGTATCTTTCCTCGCAGTGCTTTCAGGGGTGAGATTCACTTCGAGGGTGGAAGTGGGAGGTACCTTTGGGGGCGGGAATGATGGTGGAGGGACAGGGACCGGCGTGGGGAGTGGTTAGAGCCACTGGGTCTGCTCTGAGGGGAGGGGCTCACCGGGGAGTGCTGCGCAGGCGGGACCGGGTGGCATCTGGGAGCCCTGAAGGGAAGGGGTTAAGGGACTGGACGGCGTTCAAAAGAGGAACTAAATGGAAACGAGAGGAGACCGCGCACGCTGAAATGACGTAGGGGAAGCTTGGAGGCGGAGTTAAAGGCGGGGCAACAACTGCGAACACCCAGGTCCTGGAAGCTGGTGCTGGGAAGACATCTAGGACCCCTGCGTCTGGGAAAGCATAAAAACCTGCGAACCCTGGAGCGGCTGGGGGCGGGGCGGAGGCGTGCGAAAGCGGAGGTGGCCTTAGGAACCAGTATAAAGTCTGAGCCCCCAGACTTGATTGCGTCTGGGAATCTGGCCCAGGTCTTCGGGGTTCCGTGTGAGCTGGGTCTCCGGCGCCTTCTGAGCTCTAAGATGGGGGGTGGCAGGCGGCGGCCTCGGGGCACGCTCACGGCCAGCCTTGGCCCCCCGCCCCCGCGCGGTCGGGGACCTGAGCGCCAAGCTGAAGCCCTACGAGCAGAAGGACTGGCGCCACGCGCCCCGCTTCCTGACCCCCCTCAAGCCACACACGGTGCTCCGTGGCCAGGACTGCACCATGACCTGCGCGTTCCTTGGGAACCCGCGGCCCACGGTGACCCTCTACAAGGGCGACGTCAACATCACGGCCAACTCCAAGTTCTGGTATAACTGCACCAGCGGCGTGTGCACCCTCGTCATCCCCACCTGCACGCTCAAGGACAGCGGCGATTACAGCGTGCTGGTGGGGAACGATCTGGGCAAGCACCGCAGCAGCTGCACGCTCACGGTCTACGGTGAGGGCGCCACGGGCCCCACCGGCGGGCCTGGCCTTTGGTGGGGGGGCGGAGGGAGCGCATCCTGGCTGGGGCAGAGGCGCAAAATGGTGGAATCGTGGGCCATTAGTCAACTCTCTTCCTTTGGCTGGTACGGTTTTTTATTTAATCTGCTATCAGGTGGCGCAAACATTCTTAATTGGCCAGAGTTCTTACCGCTCTCCCATGCTCTGGATGTCATTTGTTATGCGTACTGGCCCCTACAGACATGGGAGTTTTCCATCCCTAGATAAGATGTGGTTTGCAACCTTTGGTGGGCCTACACCTACCTTTAAAAAAAGATACTGGACTAAACCAGACTCACCCAATCACAAACTCTCTGGCAGGGTTCTGGAAGGAATCTATTCTGATGTGCAACCAAGATTGAAAACCACTGGTTTAGGATAAGGATAGAAGGGAGGCACAAATAAGGGGAGGACTTAAGGAAACCCCTCCCTTTTGCGCATGCATGCCGTGTTTCTGCTCGTGTACACACGTGCAGGGAAATGTTTTATTCCTTCCCACACAGTCTGCTGCCTTCATAGCCACACAGCTCGCAGCATGAACTCTATAAATGCAAAGCTGACCTGTCTTGCTTTCTCTTCCTTAAATTGCCCCTCTAAAGCTTCCCCTCATGATAAAATCCCAAAGTAACAAGGTTCCCGTCTCCCCCACCTCTCTGGTCTCATTTTCTGCCACTCCCTGAACTTTCCATGGCACTCCATTGCTGTGGTCTCCATGGTTACAGACCTTTTTTATTCAGTTATAGATGCCTTTCCTTGGGGAAAGGACCATATCCTGTTGCTCTGTCTCTCAAGTGCTTAGCTAAGTGTCTGGCAGCGAGACGATGTCTCCAGAGTGGCTGCCGAACTGCAACAGAACTAGGCCAGGGAAGGCACTGTGGGAGCTATCCAGCTTCCATTCCACAGCTAGAGAGATCCCTGATAATTTGCCTCTGGTTGTAAGCACATGGGCCCGGGGCCCTGGCTGCACCACTGAGCAGCCATGTGACCTTGGCAAGCTCCCTCTCTGAGCCTGTTTTCTACTCATAGGACTCTGAGGTGTAAATGAGATAGCATATAAAGTAACTGGCACAATGCCTGGCAAATATTAAGTGCTGAATAAATGGCAGCTCTTGATCCCATATAGTCTGCCAACGCCAGGATTAAGGGTCCCAGGATCCAGCCCCTGGTTCCTGCGTAGGAACTCCAAGTCCAGCAGGTTAGAATTTCCCTGGAATCACTAACACTAATGAATACTTGCTTTGCTCTTTCAGACAAGGATGACAAGTCAATTCTAGTGTCCCTCACCGAGAGTCTGCAGAAGAAATCAAAGCACCTTATGTGAGCTCCATCCCAGCCCAGGCATCAGGAGGCTGCTGTGATGTGGGGCTTCTTGGCCCATCCTCTGCATGGCCCAGTGTAGGCAGCACAGGTTGCTCTCTGGTGTTCGTCAGTGTAAACATTCAGTGAAGGGAGGGGACAATAAACTAAGCTCACGCTTTCCTGTTCCTGAGAGTGGTATACAGCAAGGACCAAGAGGATGGATGTGAGCAAGCGTGGGATGAGGATTCCCAAACCTAGACTCCTAAGAGCCTTGTCCAAACCCACACACAAGGGAGTGACCAGTGCCCTTTTGACTGGGCCTTGACTTGCCTTCCCCTCCTCTGCACCCACACTGTACCTTCCCCTTCCCCTCAGGGAATGGGGGCAAGTCTTGCTGACTTCATCTTCCTCCCCATCCTGCTCCCTCCCACTCATCCATACTAGGTAGGTCTGTGTTCAGAGTTCTGGGGTTTGAAAGGATCAGGACCTTGCCTCTTCAGTGTCCAGGGTTCCCACCGTCAGACCTAGAAGGGATTGGTCACCCAGCTCGCTAAGTTTCAAATCTATGTTTTGCAGTGGAATCCTTCCTTTAAAAAAAAAGAAAAATTTTAAGTAGCTACTGCACTTGAAACAAGGATAAGGGGTCCTTGAGCCTGTCTCCTCTCCTTATTCCTTTGCTACTCTGCACCAGAAATCTCTGTAAAAACCCTAATTTGAAAATCCTTGATTCATCCAACACACATAATGAGACTTGAGTCTCGTACATCACATCCCTACAAATGTGCAACACCTCTACAAAATGGCACATTCACCACCACCCGAGGCTTCCCTTTCTACTTCTGGGTTAGGGCATTGCCTGTTAAGATGCAGATGCCCCTGGAGTGAGGTGACAAATTATTCTGCCAGGGCTTTACATCTAAAGTATGAATCAGCCAATCTAATCCCATTCCTCCCAGCTGTTCAACCAAGCCCAAGTACAAGGAGAAGGAGATGCTTGAAGGGAATCTGGAACAGGCAGCAGGTCTGGGGTGGGGAGGGGAGGAGGTGGGCAGCAGTAGAAGACACTGGGCAACTAAAGGTTATCAAGGGTGGTGGGCATCTGTGCATACGGAAGTGTATCAGGACAAATTTGGATAGTGGCAAATACTATACTACCCATCCCCCATCCTCCTGAACCACATCCTCATGTACCCATGTAATCAGGGAAGTGAGACCCACTCCAACCAGCACAGTGTCACCAGAGCCAGGGAGCCAGCCTGGCGCCAAAATGCACTGGCTGAGACTATGATCCAGGATGTGAGGACAGCCAGGGCCCTGGCACCATGCCCCCAACCCCTCTCCAGAACAGGCACATGCCACACAGGCAGACAAGCGGGATAGCCAATGGCCCTTGATTTTTATTTTTTTTTCACATGGGCAGTAAAGGATGGAGTTGTCCCATCCTTGCTCCCCTTGCATTGAATGTGCCTTGGGTCTTACAACCCCCGAGTGTCATTGGAACCCCCTCCTCTTGCTCCTACTGCAGGAGGGAATGGGAGGAAAGCATTCAGAGTGTGTGTATTGGGGGAGAAGGGTCCCAGCTCGCTGAGCCAGGCTCAGCACCCCCTCAGCAGCTCCCTGAGGCCCTCTCCCTATGAGACTTTGACAGACAGCAGGACAGAGACATATGGCAGAGAAAGACATAGGCAGGCTGGGAGACACACTATACACACACAAACACACAAGAGACACACAGACACACACAGGCTTGCCCCTTCCTTTGGCATGGTTCACCCTAGCCCTGGGGACAGGGTCTGAGGGTGGTGGTATGGGGCCTGAGTTTTGGGCTGGCCTGTGAGAGAGATGGGGCCAACTCGAATCCTTGGTACCTTAAGCTCCAGACCAAAGAAGTTCCCTTTCCTGCCTCACCTGGACAGACACCCCTTCACCTTCCCACCCGCCACTTAGAGATTGAGATTGTTCAAGTAACAAGGATAGAAGAGGGAAAGGGAGACTCTACTCTCATCCAATCTTCTCAACTGGAGGCCTCTGAAAGGGACTTCAAGCCCTAGGGCTGGGCCTTCTCAGTACAGATTTCTCCCCTTTCCTTCAAACCCTGTGTAGATCAGAAAAGATGGGAGTGGGTGAGCCCAGCATTACCATTGGTCCTAATCATAAGAGAGAAGAGTCAGATTCTTCCACCTAGTAGGGGAAGGGGGGTCAAGAAGCTGAGCACCATCACCCTCCAGGGGGGCTCTGACAGTCCTGATTGGGTAGAGGTGGGGAGATGTCTACTTCTGGCTCCAGCAAGGGGTTAGGCTGGCTCTTTTAGCTCTCGGCATTGTCCTGGACCGCTAGCGTTGCTATGGAGATCCTTTTCCTTCTTACCCCCTCAAACTTGTAAATTCCCCATGTAGTACCTGCTGCCCCAGGCTGGCACTGCGGCCATCCTGATCCAGCTCCTGCTGGTTCCCAGGGTCTGGACCCCAGCCCCAGGAGGAGAGAGGGGTGACCAGACCCTGGCACCTCAGTTGGCCTTGCTCAGTCTATAGTCTTCCACGGGATCCCGGCTCTCGACGGCTGACAGGGCGATGAGCATCTGGGCAGCGTAGTAGGTGGACATGATGAGTGCCCGTGAGTAGGGCACAGGAAAGCAGAACTTGTTGAGGGCGATGGTCAGGTCTGAGATGATAAAAAACACTGCGCCACCGCCAGCCGCCAGCTCAGTCCAGCGCCAGGCTGCCCCGACCAGCTGCAGCCCTGCCATAGCTCGCCAGCCCATGAAGCTGATAAGGGCCATGTAGACCCCCACCACATAGGTGAAGGCACCTGAGAGGCACGGGTAGAGGAGGGCATAGCACAGGCCTGATAGCACTACCATCACCAGACCTGTCCGAAGAGCTAATGGTCGCATGCCAAAGGCTGAGGCGTAGAGCATGTGGGTCACAGCAAACATCAGCACACCTAGGAGTGAGAAGGGATGAAGGATGCTGAAGGCAGGCTTGTTGAGGAATGCGTGATGGGGTGGGGTGGAGTGGGATAAACCAGCAGCTTTGCTTTGGGAGTAACAGGGGTGGGAAGATCCATAAAAGTAAAGGCCATCACTCCCATTCCCCTGAAGAACCCTATAACTGATCACCAGATTACCTGCAAGGTCATCCTCCAACAGAGGTCCTCGCAGTTCCTGGCCACAGAAACCCTCAGATTCCCCATATTCTGGTTCAAAAGCCCCCTCTTCCAAATCCTTGCCCCCTCCCAGGGCCCCTCTAGCCCCCAGACCCAGGACCCCTCCCAGGTAGCTACTGTGACCACTGACCGTGCACAAAGAATCCTTGGTCCTGCCAGATGAGGAAGGCATCACCTAGAGCAGAGAAGACAAGCCCCACAAAGATGCGAATGGCGCTGGGGTGGGCCAGCAGGAATCCCAGGCCGTGGGCCAGAAGGAAGAGCCAGAGGCAGAAGATAGGCAGGCACTTGATGAGGGCGCTGACCCACGACGGGCTGGACAAAGGCAGCCAGAGTACAAAATACACGCAGGTGGCCTTGAAGAAGGGCACCAATTTGGGTCCTTCACTCTTCACCTGGAGGACACGGGACAAGGACAGCACTCAGAGCCTGGGAGCTCAGAAGCCCATAGGAGTTTTCAGAACCAGCACCCTCAGCCTAGGCATCCACCCAGAAACAGGTCCACCCCATCCCTGCCCCAGCCCACCCCCACAACACCCACCTCACTGGCACCTCTGAGCAGGGAGGATTGACACAGAGAAACCCAGCCTGGCCTACCCAACCAGCCAGCAGGATGTGAACAAACCTGAGGCTCAGTTTATTAGGAGGGGAAGGCCTCCACTGTTTTTGCTACCTGTGTCCACTCTTGGTGCTGGGATGGGCTAGAATGGTCACTCACTGGGCAGCAAACCTTGGGATAATGTCCCCTTCTGCAGCCCAAGGCTTCTCCCTTCCTGCCCTGTTCTTCTCCCTCCCTCCCCAGGGTCCCTTTAGCCCCTGTCTCTGCCAGCATCAGCCCCCAGCTGTCTGGAAGGGAATGAAGTCAGCAGGAAACCACAGAGACACCCTGGCTAGCAAACTCGTGATCCCCAGGGGTGGGGCCAGGGCACAGGCTTAGGGCCCTGGCAACACCAGGTGAGTGCCAGGAATGTGGGAGGGTTGGCACTGCCAGCCACCTCAGCCCCTCAGGCCCTCTCCTCCTTGACCAGCCTGCTCCTCAGCCTCCATCTGTGCCAGCCTCAAGGTGGCGTCAAGGGCAAGAAGAAGTGCCAGGGATGCTGGCTAGAGAAATGGACCCATAAGTTGGGAGCAAGAAAACTGTCCCTGAGACACCAGAGAGCTCAGGGATTAGGGGGAGGGAGTGTGCATGTCAGTCAGTCTCATTTCCCAGAGAACAAGAGCGACTCAAGGCACACCAGAAAGAGGCAGGAAGGGGGGGAGGGGTTCTCTTCCTAGCTTCTGATCTGGAGCCAGCCACAGACTGGGAGGAGATGGAGAACTGAGTGGGGAAGTTTTAGAACAGCTGACTTGGTCTCAGCCGGATTAGGGGGAGGGCAGCTAAAGAAAGGTTGTACCCAAGGCCACCGCAGGCAGATTCCAAGCTGGAGGAGGGGGCTGCTGCAGATGTTCTGAATATGTGATCCCTGAAGCTCCTTTCCTCGGGCTGCTAATACAGGGTCTTTGAGGGTGATATGGAGCAGTGGGGGGTCCCTGTTAACATACTCTGCTCAAAGTGATTGTGTCTCTGGCTGGGTGAGCTGTCCAGCACAGGGCTCTGAGGACACACTCGGAATCCCAGACCACCAGATACCTAAGGACTGATCAGAGTCTGATGACGGGGGTTGGGAAGAGGCGGATGGGTGGGTCCAGGATCCAAGCCTGCCCTTGTTCTGCCAGAGGTGAGAGCAGGGAAGAGATGACTTCCCCTTTCCATGGAAATTCCCCCATCAAGGCTGGTCAGGGTAGGGGCACGGTCAGAGGAGGAGGCTGGAGGCCAACCCCACAATCCCCATCATCCACCCGCCGGCCCTTGGGAGCATCAACATCAGCTCCATCCCCTCCCTCAGCCCCATATTTTCTAGAAGGAGAAACGGGCAGTAGCTGGGGCGACCTTAACAGTCATAGAGAACCCAGCACTAGAAAAGGAAGGGCGGGTAGACAAAAGGTTCACGTTATGAAGTCTGAAAAGGAGAAGTCAGTG